ATATTCAATAGCTCTGCTTCCACCTTTTTAAGGAAGAGAGCTACAAAGACTGGTGCCCCTCTGAGAGAAAAATATTGCCTCATTTTTGTTTTCAATAGGTACCTGTAGTTCTGAATTCTCTAGTGAAGGAAATTTCTTGTCCACATCTACCCTGTCCAGCCCTCTGGAACAATCAAGTCACCTCTTACTCTTCTAAACTGCATCAGATACAAGCGTAGCCTTTCCAAACCTTCCTCATCAAACACATCCCTCATTCCACGTTCCGCATCTATTTTAAGCCTTCTCTGAGTTAGCCCCAATGCATATACATCCTTCCCACCAGCTCCCTATTTGACTTGGAGAAGGTGGTGCTTTTGATAGACTAATTAATGATAAACTGTTATCAATGGTATAAATTGTTACAAACTGTAGAAAACACAGAATGAAGGTAATTGGTAAGAGAACCCAGCTACGACCAGTAACGCCCCTGCCTAAAAGGGATTTTTTTTTCACTTCATGGGATTTGGGTGTCACTAGTTGGGCCAGCATTTATTGTCTATCTTAGTTGCCCTTGAGACAATGGTGGTGAGCTGCCTTCTTGAACAGCTGCATTGCTGGGCAAATTTTCACATTGTCAGGTAGGTGCCAATAAATTTTGTGGCTGTACTGGAACAACTTGTTTGGAGGATGTGCCTAGTTTTGGAACACACCTTTAGCACTGTTGCTGGAATAAAAGCATAGAAAGTAGAAGTAGGCCGTTGAGCCCACTCCATCATTCAACATGACCTTGGCCTATTCTCTATCTCAATGCTGAATTCCTGCTCTCTCCTCATAATTCTTCACACCGTTTGTGTCCAGAAACCTATCCATTTCTTTCTTAAATATATTCAGTGATGGCCTCCACCACCTTTTGTGTGTATTAGAGAATTCCACAAGTTGACCATCTTCTGAATGAAGAACTTTCTCCTCTTCCCAATCATAAAAGGCCTACCTTGTATCCTGAGCCCTTGATTCCTTGTTCTGGGCCCCTGACCAGTGGAAATATCCTTCTGCTTCTAGTCTGTCTATTCATTTAGAATTCCTGTACATTCCAATGAGATCTCCTCATACTTTCCTAAATGCAGACCCGGTTGAATAATCTTTCTTCGTAAAGCAAACCTGCCATCCCAGGAAACAGTCTGTTGAATCTTCAGGGCATTCCCCCAATGACAAAAACATCCTTAAAGGCAAAGAAACAAAAACTGTGCATGCCAATCCAGGTATGGACTTACTTAGGACCTGTATAGCCTCAGCTTGCTCCTGTAGTGAAATATAACCATGATCATATTGAATGGCAGAGCAGGCTTGAGGGGTTAGTTAGCCTTCTCATACTCCTGTCTTCTATGTTTTAGACTGTCTTGCAATGAAGGTCAACATATCATTTGTTTTCCTAACTGAATGTCTGGTGTACAAGGAAACCCAGGTTCCAATCTATCACCATTTAAATAATGCCCTGCCATTTGTTTTCCTGCCAAAGTTGGCAATTTCACGGTTTTCTACATTAGACTGCATCTTGCATTATATTTGCCAACTCAGTCAACTTGTATAAATTGCCCTGAAGCCTCTTTACATCCTCACAACTCGTACTCCAACCTCATTTTGTTTCGCATCGACTGATTGGCCCAAAGGTTCTACTTCCGTACTGTATGATTCTATGACTCTATTCATGTCTGACAAATTTATTGCAATTTTTTTGAGGTGGTAATAAGTTGGATAAGTAAATGGAAATCAGTAGATGCGATATATACATGTGCCAATAAAATCTAAATCTAAACTTTGATTTCCATAAGGTGTTTGATAAGGCACCCCACAAGGCTATTTAGTCCACTTGGAGCCCATGGAGTTGGGGATAGCTATGGATAGAAGTTTGACTGACTAATAGAAGAAATTTGGAATAAGGGGAACATTTTCAGGATAGCAACCTCTACCCAGTGGAGTGCAACAAATCAATGCTGGGACCACAGTTATTTGCATTATATGTTAATAGTGAATGATGAAATGAAAGTTAACAAACTATTGCCAAGTTTGCAGCTAACACAAAAGTTGATGGGAAGGCAAATGGTGAGGATGACTCGATGAATGTACCGAGGAACATACACAGGTTAAGCAAATGTACAAAAATTTGGCAGTTGGAATATAGTTTAGGAGAAGTGAGAGTATGTATTTGGACAGGAGAATAGAAGAGCTGAGTATTATTTAAATGGAGAAAGGCTGTAGAAAACTACAGCGTAGAGGGATTTGGGCATCCTTGTCCATGAATCACAAAAAGCTAGCATCCGAGTTCCCTGGCTGATGGGGAAAGCAAATGGAATGTTGGCCTTGATTTCAATTGGGTTATAAAAATAGGGAGGTCTTGCTAAAAATATGCAAGGCACTCGTCAGACGACTGCTGGAATACAGTGAACAGCTTTGGTTCCCTTATCTAAGGAAAGTTATGCTTTGGAGGCAACCCAGAAAAGGTTCACTGGATTGATCTTCCTATGAGAAGTTGGGTAGGTTTGATTTCTGTTCATTGTTTAGTAGACTGAGGGTTGATCTTACTGAAACATGAAAGATGATGATGAGACTTGATGCTGACAGGTTGTTTTCTCTGGTTGGGAGAGTCGAGAAACTGAGCAGAATTTCAGAGTAAGGAGTCACTTATTTAAGACAGTTGTAAGGAAGACTATCTTCTGTCAGAGGGTAGTCGCCCTGTGAAATTCTTTACCACAGCGCTGTTGAAGCTGGATCATTAACACATTCAAGACAGATTTTTAATCAGTAAGGGAATCAAGTCATGGGGATAATATAGGAATGTGGAGTTGGTGATCAGCTGTGATTTCATTGAATGTTTAAAGTAGGAATTCATAGTTTTCTGAATATTAGTGGCTTAGATGATGATTGGAATGGGATGAGTAAAAGGCATTGAAGCATTTGATTAGCCACAATCGTATTGACTGGCATGGCAGGCACAATGAGCTGAATAGGCTGAATTGTCAATCGTGTTCCTAACCCGCCCTTACCATCGTTCCATATAGCCAGTTAATCAGTCCCGTTCACTCTGACTTTCAGTCAAACTCAGTAAATTTTAGAGCTCCTGACAGCAATACCTAAGACATCCTACTTAATACCCATCCTTAGACACCCTATCAGATTTCAGAAGAAGCCAAGAAATAAAAGCAGAAGTAGACTATTCGGTCCTTCAAGCATGCTCTGCCACTCTGTGATCAAGACTGATCTTGGCCTTCAGCTGAACACTTACCTGCCCATTACCATATCCCTGATTCCCTGAGAGATCAAAAATCTGTCTAGCTTATCTTTGGTAACCTCTCATATTCAATGATGAATCACCACAATTCAAAGAATTACAGTTCTGTGGGTAATTAGATTTCACGTCATCTCAGCTTTAATTGAGTCTCTTATCATGAGACTGTGCCCCCCACACCCACTGTGGATTCTTCAGTCATTGGAAGCAATCTTGCAGTGTCCATCTTGTCACACCTGTTCAGTCTTGTGTGTTTCAATGGGATCCTTTCTGTCTCCAAAGCTCAAAAGATTATCGACCCAGGCCCATTCAACCTCTTATAATAGGATAACTCCTCATCCCAGTGACCAGTTTAATAAGCCTGTGCCTTTGGTGCACTTATCGTCTTCTTTAAATTTTGAGACCTCACGTGCTCACAGCCCAGCCGATATGTCTCACCAGTACTGAGGGTGGTTCGTGTGTGGAATGAACTTCCTGAGAATGAACATCCTGGGGTGGATCCAGATACAATTACTTTTAAAAGACATTTGGGTAAGTCCATGAATAGGAAAAGTGTGGAAGGAAGTGGGCCAGGAGCAGGCAGGTGGGACTTAGTTTAGATTGGGATTATTGTCAGCATGGACTGGTTAGACCGAAGGGTCTGTTTCTGTGCTCTGTGACTCTGTGACAAATTGGTGGGATGAGTGGATGGGTGTCAGATGAATTTCAATGTAGAGAAATATGAAGTGATTCATTTTCCTAGGAAGACCACAGACAATATATAATAAAAGGTCCATCTCTCAAGGGGAGGTGCAGGAGAAGAGGGGCGTGGATGTAAATGTGCATAAGTCATGGAAGGTGACAGGACTGGTTAATAAAGCCTCCAGTATTGTGGGCTATATTAATAGGAGCACAGAGTACAAGAGCAAAGAGGTTATGTTGAATTTTTATAAGATACTAATTTAGTCTCAGCTGGAGTAGTTCTGGGCACTGTCTTTAAAAAGGATGTGAAGTCAGTAGAATGCAGTAAAGATTCATGAGGATAGTTTCACAGGTGAGGAAGATATAAAAATAGATTGGAGCGGTTAGACTTGTTTCTCTTGGAGAAGAGAAGGTTGAGAGGACATTAATAGAGGTGTTTAAAAATCATGTTTTAGGACAGAGTGGATGGGAGGAAACTGTTCCCACTTGTGCAATAATTGAGAATGAGGTTCAAGGTAGTTGGTAAAAGAAACAAAAACAAAATGAAAAACATTTTCACACAGCGAGTGGTTCAGATCTGGAATGTACAGTCTTGAGAGTGTGGTGGAGGCAGCATCAGTCAAGGCATTTGGGAAAGAGTTAGACTGTTAGTCCAAAAGGAAGAATGTGCAGAGTTTGGTAAGAAGGCAGGACCATAGAAGCTAGTGAGCTCCTGATTGGAGAGTTGTGATGGCAGTGAGTGAGATCCTCTTTGGACAGTTGGCGCAGACATGATTGGGCTGAATGGCCTCCTCTTCTGCTGTAATCCCATCTGTGATTCTGCTGGTTCGATGTGATTCTCACACTGCCTGAGCTCATTATGTTATGGAAAGCTTACAGCAGGGAGAGTTTATACTTCAGAGCAAACACTGCTTGAAGCTTCTTGTAGCACCGTGTTACAAGTGCCATTTTCTGCTGGAGGGACTAGAGCTCTAGGTGCTTAGAACCATATCTTGGTGATGAACTCACTCTCGCTGGGTGGTTGTGACTGATCTTCATCTGTTTTCTTCCCTAATAGGGGAGTCGGGACTTGGCAAATCAACTTTGATCAATTCACTCTTCCTGTCGGACTTATACTCCAAGGAATACCCTGGGCCCTCCCTCAGGATCAAGAAAACTATCCAGGTGACTTGTGTGTTCGTGGACATGTGCGCCTGTGTGTTTGTGTGGGTTTGTACACATTGCTTGTGTACGTGTTCGTGTGCGTCTTATGCGTGTACCTGTTTGTGTACAACTGTTGGTTTTCTGAACAGGATGAGGCCAGTCAGCTCCTTGGGCCTATTCATTCATTCAATGATGTCATGGTTGACCTGAACTTAACTTCATGGGATAATACAAAACAGGTTGACCACCAACTGAGTGAAGAGCCCATCCTAAATAACCTGCCCCTTGTCCTGATACTGTGGGCTCTGGTTCTTGATTCCCTCAACTAGGGCAAACATCCTTCCTGCATCTAATCTATCCATTCCTGGTGGAATTGTATAGTTTCACTCAGTTCCCCTCTCATTCTTGGTAAACCCGCAGCCATGTCTCTGTAATGGCAACTATATCATAACATCGCAAATAAAAATACAAGGTTAATTCATCTACCTTACTGCGAATGCACCATGCATGAAAACACAGTACCTTCAGACTTATCATTTTAACCTTGTTAGCCATCTTAGCTTTATTTTGCTGTATGACCCCATTTTTTCTCCTTTTTTTCTGCCTTCCACTGTTGCATCTTACCTTTCTGTCTTTTGTTTTGCTCCCTGTTTCCCCCTTGCCTGTCTTCCTGCTCAGGTTCCCATTCCCCTGCAATCTAGTTTAAACTTCGAACGACATAACATCATAATACACATTGTGCATCATAACTAAATTATAGTACAACACAGCAAGAAGCCATTTCTCACAATCTGTGGTAGCTCTTTTGGTCAGCTTATTTAATTCATCCCACTCAGTTTCCCCATACCCCAGCAAGTATGGTCTATTCAATAGGTGGTTCCCATTGAATGTTTTCAACCATTCATGGAAGCAATGCATTATAGCTCACAAATCAATACTTAAGTAAATGGGAAATGTTCCCATAGTCTTACCAGACTGTCCCATTAGAGAGAGAGAGAGAGAGCGAGCGAGAAATGACTGGTGATGGTTGAACCTGAGGGTTATCATGCCTCATGCGAGGGGAAAATTGAGGAGAGTCCTTCATGGTGACCTTAGCCGGTCTGTGAATTGATTCCAAGCTGTTGGTATCTCCTTGCATCATGAACCACCTGTCCAGCCAATTCAGCTAAATCCAATCTCTCTACCTAAGTAACACCCAAAGACAGACCAATATACCCACAGAGACCAGCAGCCCACAGACAGGGAGAGATAACATACACATTTAATTTAGATAAATGTGAGTGCTGCATTTTGGGAAGGCAAATCAGGGCAGGACTTGTACGCTTAATGGTAAGGTCCCGGGGAGTGTTGGTGAACAAAGCGACCTTGGAATGCAGGTTCATAGTTCCTTGAATGTGGAGTTGCAGGTAGACAGGACAGTGAAGAAGGCATTTGGTATGCTTGCCTTTATTGGTCAGTGCATTGAGTATGACGGTTGGGAGGTAATGTTGCGGCTGTACAGGACATTGGTCAGGCCCCTTTTAAAATACTGTGTTCAGTTCTGATCTCCTTGCTATTGGAAGGATGTTGTGCAACTTGAAACCGTTCAAAGAACAAAGAAAATTACAGCACAGGAACAGGCCCTTTGGCCCTCCAGCCTGCGCCGATCCAGATCCTGTATCTAAACCTGTCGCCTATTTTCCAAGGATCTGTATCCCTCTGCTCCCTGCCCATTCATGTATCTGTCTAGATACATCTTAAATGACGCTATCGTGCCCGCCTCTACCACCTCCGCTGGCAACATGTTCCAGGCACCCACCATCGTCTGCGTAAAGAACTTTCCACGCAAATCTCCATTAAACTTTCCCCCTCTCGCCTTGAAATCGTGACCCCTAGTAATTGAGTCCCCCACTCTGGGGGGAAAAAGCTTCTTGCTATCCACCCTGTCTATACCCCTCATGATTTTGTAGACCTCAATCAGGTCCCCCATCAACCTCCGTCTTTCTAATGTAAATAATCCTAATCTACTCAACCTGTCTTCATAACTAGCACCCTCCATACCAGGCAACATCCTGGTCAACCTCCTCTGCACCCTCTCCAAAGCATCCACATCCTTTTGGTAATGTGGCAACCAGAACTGTATGCAGTATTCCAAATGTGATCGAACCAATGTCCTATCAATTGTAACATGACCTGCCAACTCTCGTACTCAATACCCCGTCCGATGAATGATAGCATGCCGTATGCCTTCTTGACCACTCTATCGACCTGCGTTGCCACCTTCAGGGTACAATGGACCTGAATACCCAGATCTCTCTGTGCATCAATTTTCCCCAGGGCTTTTCCATTTATCGTATAGTTTGCTCTTGAATTGGATCTTCCAAAATGCATCACCTCGCATTTGCCTGGATTGAACTCCATCTGCCATTTCTCCAATCTATCTATATTCTGCTGCATTCTCCGACAGTCCCCTTCACTATCTGCTACTTCACCAATCTTAGTGTCATCTGCAAACTTGCTAATCAGACCGTCTATACCTTCCTCCAGATCATTTATATCTGTCACAAACAGCAGTGGTGCCAACACGGATCCCTGTGGAACACCACTGATCACAGTTCTCCATTTTGAGTAACTCCCTTCTACTACAACACTCTGTCTCCTGTTGCCCAGCCAGTTCTCTATCCATCTCGCTAGTACACCCTGGACCCCATGCGACTTCACTTTCTCCATCAGCCTACCATGGGGATCCTTATCAAACGCCTTACTGAAGTCCACGTATATGACATCCACAGCCCTTCACTCATCTATCAACTTGTCACTTCCTCAAAGAATTCTATCAAGTTGATAAGACATGACCTTCCCTGCACAAAACCATGCTGCCTATCACTAATAAGCCCATTTTCTTCCAAATGTAAATAGATCCTATCCCTCAGTATCTTCTCCAGCATCTTCCCCACCGTCAGGTGACGTCAGGCTCACCGGTCTATAATTACCTGGATTATCCTTGCTACCCTTCTTAAACAAGGGGGCAACATTAGCAATTCTCCAGTCCTCTGGGACCTCACCCGTGCTCAAGGATGCTGCAAAGATATCTGTTAAGGCCCTAGCTATTTCCTCTCTCGCTTCCCTGAGCAACCTAGGATAGATCCCATCCAGACCTGGGCACTTGTCCACCCTAATGCCTTTTAGAATACCCAACACTGCAGCCCCCCCCCCTTTCAGAAAAGACTTGCCAGGATGTTACCAGGGTTGGAGGGTTTGAGCTATAGGGAGAGGCTGAATAGTGCCTTGTTTAAGTAAGGATGTAAGTGCTTTGGAACCAGTTCAATGAATGTTTACCCGATTAATAACTAGAATGGGCAGATTGACTTATAAGGAAAGGTTGGATGGGCAAGTCTTGTAACTACTAGCATTTAGAAGGATAAGCGTTAACTTGATTGAAGCACAACATCCTGAGGGGTCTTGATGTGGTGAGGATGTTGTTTCTTGTGGAAGAATCTCGAACTGGAGGTCACCATTTAAATTTAGAACAGAGATGAGACACTTTTTTTCTCTCGCAAAAGGCTGGAAGGTCATCAGGTAGCATGTAGATGTGAGTTTACAATCGGATTCACCATGATCATCTTGAACAGTGAAGCACGCTCAGGGGGCTGAATGGCCTACTCCTCCAAATTGGTGTATTTGTAAGCCGAGGAGGCAGCATTCTGCACCGAACTGTGTGCACTGTAATAGCTGATGCTTTTTAAATGATGACCTAAGTGCAGTTTCTTTGTTTCCAGGTTGAACAAGTAAAGGTTCTGGTTAAAGAAGGTGGTGTGCAACTCACGCTGACCATTGTCGATACCCCAGGGTTTGGAGATGCAGTGGACAATAGTAACTGGTAAGTTCATAACCCTGACAAAAGATGGAGCATCGAATGTTTCATCTTGCTCCTCTCTGATTCCTCTTTCAGCTCACTGAGAATCACTGTCTTTCCAACAACTTTTGAAATATCTGAAAAAAAAAGCATGGACAGGGTCTGTTGGCTACATCCAATAGACCAGACCTTGAGAATGAAGAAATATAATTTCCAATCTTTTTTATACCTGCAATTAATTTACCATAAATCATAATGAAAAAATCCAGTGTTGGCATCACAAAGTTCTGCTGTGCATCGTGGGTGGCCATCATTTGCATCTTTTACCATGCCTTCCTTTTTAAAAGTTAGTTGTGACTGTGTTAGATTTGTGACCCAACCAGCCACGTCTGTATTGTGACATGGCAACGCAATGCAAAAAAAAAGCTAGTTCAACAAGGAACATTTGTTCCTTAAGCAATCCCTTGCATTGGTACAATTTCCTATTCATGGCCAATTTTTAAAGAATATGGCATCCAGATGTGATTGTAAGTCATGACCAGAGGTGACACAAACAAGATCCAGCAAACCTTGGCTCACTGTGAGCCGCATTCTACTGCATCTTGTGATGTGAAGTTGCCTATCAGTGCTGTCTCTTACTCTGTGGCCTCAACAGCCAAAGCCCTGAGGAATTCTATCAAGTGGATCATAATTGCGGTTAATCGTTGGGGGTTGTTTATCAGTGCCCCTGAGTGGGATGAAAGGGAATAATTGCCTTTTGTGTTGGAGGTAGTAATTTTTCTGTCTATGTGGATAGGGATGATTCCTGTGTATTGGAGGAAGAGAGGGTAATTACTGGGGCAAGGATGTAACGACTGACTATGTGGCTTGATGGTACCTACTGTATGTGTGAGGGAGAGTAGGTTAGTCTGTGTAGAGGGAGACATGTAATTAATGTCTGTCTGAGGTAGAGGGAGTAATTACTGTTTGTGTGGTCGAATGGCCTGAGGCTTGTCTCAGAATTATCTGTCCAGTTGGCGAAGTCCTTGTATGTGTGCAAAAATTTTTGAAAATGCATTTACTGGATCATTAGGCTTGAGTCCCAATTCTACTTCTCAACCACACAGACTGTAACTCTCAGGCTGCAACTTTCCCTGAATGGATTTGTAAGCATGGGAATTCTAAAACTATAATTTAGAAGTGCAATCTTCATTACAGTTTTTGTTTGAGATGGTTCTGAGTGGGTATACTTTATTAATTTATTTAAAAAACAACACTATATTCAGAGTTAACAAGCTTACTTGCTAACAAATCACAAGTGATGGTGATTAATAAAACAGGCATCCACGTGGAACAGTGCTGTTATGAAGCTTGTTTTTCTTCTTTTGAAACTCGATATATCACGTTGTGTGGTTTGTGGTTGATTTACTCCAGCTATTGTGGGAGATAGCTAGACATTTCAAAAATGTGCCTAACTGAAATACAAAAGGACTTGAATTCTGTTTAAATAGTTACATTTTGGAGTGTAACTTTGATAGCGGAGAATGCTTGAGTCAAAATGTAATGTTGCGGGGTATGATTTACCCATCCCTGTTTTCTAAAAATGAGCCTATGACCAGTTGAAGAATGATGTTACAATGCGGGTTACTTCTTTACAATAATACCCCTACAGTGTGGAAGTGGGCCATTTGGCCCATCACATCCACATAGCCCCTGTAAAATGTATCCCACCTCCTTACCCTGTCGCTGTAACATTTCCAATGGCCACCTAGCCTACACATCCCTGAACACTATCGGCAATTTAGAATGGCCAGTCCACCTAACCACATCTTGGGAGGACTGTTGGAGGAAACTGGAGCACCCGGAAGAAACCCTCCACACAGACTGGAATCAAACCCGGATCCCTGCCACTGAGGTAGCAGTGCTAACCATGAAAGAAGCAGCAAAGTATGGCTTTAGCAATTTTGTTACCACACAGAAGCAACATTTTCTTTTCAGAATTGGAGCCTGATTTGAGCATGGATGAAGGTTTAGGTAGACTGTTACTTTTCATGGGTAAAATTTATCGGAAAAGATGACCTATTGATTGCTCATCGAGTATAGTCAGCTTTTGACCAATTTAGAATGACTGAAGACTGTACCATGGAAGGGTACATAATAGAATTCAGTTGGTTGTGTGCAAGGTTGCAGAAATACATTTGGAAATTCTCCAGTCTCTTCTGGCATTTATCTTAATACTTTGGCACAGTCCAATAAGTATGGCAGACTTCTAGTTCTGACAGGAGTTAAATCTGTGGATAACCATACACTACTAGAACAAATGTTAGAATCACTTCAAAAAAGAAAATCGTAGGAAAGCATGCCTTTCCAGCAGCATTTGTAGCACAAAGGAGAAATCAATGAGTCAACAGAAAATAGAGAGCACAATATTAACAAATTGGCTAGGCCGACTGGAAGTGGGCTGTGGATGACAACATGAAAGGAGAACCATAATTTAGTAGAAAATGAGGACAAAATTTTTGTAAGCAAAGAGAATTTAAGATTGACAATAGTGAATGAGCCCCTAGAAATGCTCAGGGCATATTCAAAGTTTCAGGTTCGATTCAAGGCACCACTATGCTACTAATTGTCCCAAACACTGTAGTAAAATACTCGAAACCAAAAGTAAAACAGAAGATTCAAAGGAAGAAAATGGAAATACAGATCTCAGAGGACATTGTATTGGACACAAGACATTTTTAAACTTGTGCTGAATAGCTTGCTGACAGAGACTTTGAATTATGCAGTGGATGCGTGGGAGGCAATGGCCAAGTGGTATTATCTCTGGACTGTTAATCCAGAGACCCAGATAATATTCTGGAGACCCATATTCAAATCCTGCCATGGCAGATAGTGGATTTTGAATTCAGTACAAATCTGGAATTAAGAGTTGGCAATTGTTGGGGAAAAACCCATCTGGTTCACTAATGTCCTTTAGGGAAGGAAACTGCCATTCTGTCTGGTCTGGCCTACATGTGACTTCAGGACTAATGTGGTTGCCTCTTAACTAACCTCTGGGTAATTAGAGATAGATAGGCAATAAATGCATGCCCTCATCCCAGGAATGAATATATTTTAAAAAATGCATTTCCATAATGTGTGGTATAGATGGGCTAAAATGCGACCTATTCTCTGAGTAGAAAGATTCAGGACAAAGTTATGCTGTTTGAGAGTTCAATCAGTTTCATATTTGGGGACGATAAAATCTTGTAAAATAGGCAGAGTCAAAGATTTTCAAAGGAATAAATCGCAGTTATAGTGTCCTGTGAAATACCCTAGTTATTTGAGTAGGCCATTGATAAAGAAGGCAAAGGTGAAACTGAATTTGGAAAACAATCAAGTTATTACATTTGGAAAATATAAGAATTTGCAATTTACACATATGGGACACATTGCATTCCTTTAATTGAACTCCACTAAAGAAATTACAGAAGTGTTATTGCTATCAGAGGGTATAAGCTTAGAAGATACAACTTTAAGGCAATTGATTGTATAGATGATTTGCTCATTTGTCTTCAAAAAGACTAAAACTTTTAGTAAAGGATGCAGAAATAACACAGTACAGTAAATTCATAGAAAAGCTAAGTGATAGATGTGAGATTTGTAAGAAGCATTGAAGGCACCATCTGTCTGTAAGTCTGCCCTTAGCAAGAGATTTCAATGAGATCATGGCCATGAATTTAAAGGTATGGAAAAAAGAAGCACTTTCATCTGACATTTCTGTAGATTTGAAAACCAGATGTTTAGGTCATAATAATACATGGCAAGATTAAAACAATTCTGGATAAAGCAATGGAAAATGACTGCGACAGAGACTGAAGTTGGATCAATGGCAAAATTTCTCACTGACAAATCTTGAGTGGCAGGGAAGTTTTCTAATGCTGAATTCGAGTGACGGCTAGATATAGCACTTGGGGCAAATGGGATCAAAGGTTATAGGGAGAAAGCAGGATTAGGCTATTAAGTTGGACAATCAGCCATGATCATGAAGAATGGCGGAGCAGGTTCAAAGGGCCAAATGGCCTCCTTCTGCTCCTATCTTCTATGTTTCTGTGAAATCAGAGATATGTCTTTCAGTATGAACAAAAGGGTGATGGTATTGCCATATTCATCCGTAACTTTGCTGACAGTTGACTAAATGGAGAGGCCCAGAGAAGGTTATTGGTAAAGGTAGAAAAATAATAAATGTACAAGGGGAAATCAGACCATTCAAGTAAACTGTTCAAGATGCTTGGCATGGATTATAAATTTGCAGGTTCTGAAGTAGTTATTGAATATAGTGGGAAGCCAGTGTTACACAACTATATAAGGCTTAGACTGCCACAGCTGACAGTTTGTTTATGATGGACAGATTTGTTTTGATATACTGGATGAGACTCAAGGGCTTAGGCCTGTGGATTGGGAATATGAAGAACAAAGATGGAAGGCAGAACGCAACATAAGCTCAAATAGTGGGTTCAAGAGGGAAAAGATCCTGAGAAAGAACATAAACCTATTACTAGGAAAGAGAGGCGAATCAATGATTACATTAATAATAAGTCATTATGGGGTAACATACAATGAATGAAATGTGGGACTGGAAAAAGATTTAAAAGTAAATAAGGGGATCTGTCATCATTTAATATGGTCTGAAGGAATGACTGAGGGAGTAGGTGTTTTTAAATTCAGTCATGGAATGTGGGCACGCTGGCTAGCCAGCTTTCCAGCATCCGCACTTCTTTCGGTTTTTATTTATTGCTCATCCCTAGTTGCCCTCAAGAAGGTGGTGGTGAGCTACCTTCTTGAACCGCAACAGTCCATCTGCTGTTGACTTACAATGCCCTTAGGGAGGGAGTTGCAGGACTTTAACCTAGTGACAGCGAAGGAATAGTGAGATGTTTCCAAGTCAGAATGGTGAGTGGCTGGGAGGGGAAAATGCTGGTGGTGGTGTCCCATATACATTTGCAGTTCTTTCCAGATGGAATTGGTCATGGGTTTGGAAGTGCTGTCTAAGGATCTTTGGTGAATTTGTGCAGTGCATCTTGTAGATAGTATAAACTGCTGCTACTGAGCAACGGTAGTCGAGGCAGTGACTGCATGTGGATGTGGTGCCATTCAAGCAGGCTGCTTTGTCCTGGGTGGTGTCAAGCTTCTGGCTTGAAGTTGCAACCATCCAGGTAAGTAAGGAGTATATTATTGGTAAAGAGTTAATTAGGTTTGAAGTGGTTGTATAAATATGGTGAGCTAGTGAATTTTATGGAGTGTGACTAACTGAAATAAAGTTCTCACTAAAAGTGTGGACTTGAATTCTGTTTAAAAGCATTACCTTTTTGGGGTATGACATGAACTAATCATAGACTTCACTCTTGTTTAGCTGTTGCAGCCATCCATCTGACTTCAGCGAGAGCTGTGGATAGCTGCTAGATCTTGTCAAGGACTCCTCTGGTGTTCAAACAGGCTGGAGCCTTTATCTAAATAAATGCGTGTAACACCCCCAAGCTTTAATTTCCATTTCTCCCCTCATGTTATTCCACACCTTCCCTCTCAGCTTCCAACCTTACAGTACCTTGTTTCCTCCCTCCTTCCTCTACACCGTTTGCCCTTCCTCTGGTATGCAAATGATTCCAGGCACAAAGACAAAAGATTTCTTCCCAACGTACTGGTCAATATCTCTCTACCAGCATCTTCTGGTATTTATCTCCATGCTGTTTGAGTGAATTATTTTTCTTGCCAGCCTTGAACATCATTTGAGCGGATTTGGTCACAATTTGTGAGTGAACACAGGTCCTGGCGTGTGCTGATCACACAGTTGTTCTTCCACTGAATGTCTCATTGTCTCTGTCTGTTCTTGTGCAGTTGGCAGCCAGTCATCAACTACATCGACAGCAAGTTTGAAGATTTCCTCAACTCTGAGTCACGAGTGAACCGCCGCCAGACGGCTGACACCCGTGTTCATTGCTGTTTGTACTTCATCGCTCCGTCTGGACATGGGTGAGCGCTACGTCTGGGCGGGAGTAGGAGAAGGGAGAAAAATCTTCCTCATCAGCTGCACAATGGGTAGGGAGGGGAATTGTCCTCCAGAACCATAGTAATCGCTGGATATGATCAGTGTGACCCTACTGAAAAGGGGCCAGCACAGGTACAAAGGACCAGAGGGTCTTCCTAGAACGGTATATTCCTCTGGCCAGTGAAATTGTGAAATATGAATGCTTTTCGTCATTATCTCGTGTAATAGCCCCAATCTCTTAATCACTGAAAAGCCAATGGCCATGAGGATGGAATAGTTTGGGTAGAGGGGGAACAGATGCAAAGTCATTAAATCAATAATTTTTGATGTGGCAAATATGAAAGGTGTTTTACTCCTTATCTTATGCCATGCTGTTCCTGTCACAGGAGTGTTTGATGGATACACTGTAGAAAGAGATTTGCCTATATCAATATGAAACTCTAAGCAATAAGCATACTTGAATAATTATATCCCAAATATCACTCTGCTGCTTTATTCATTTTGGTGCCAGCTACAGAGACATGAATAACTTTGAAAATTTGTTTGTTTGGCAAGGGCATTGCTGGTTAGGCCATCCTTTGTTGCCCATTCTTGAATATTTGGGAAGATGGTGGTGAGTTAAAATAGGGTCACGTTTGAAAATACTTTGTGAAGCACTGCCACAGAGGTCCGCTTCGTATGTATGTGATCCAGCAAGGTGATGTTCTCTTGTTAGTGTGCACTGCATCTTGCATTACTGACTGCATTGAATGCTGAAATGCTGAACTGCTTTTGGTGATTTGATGCAGATATATTGGTCCACTGTCTTGACAGTTAAAGAGAAACTAATAATGCTACTCACATGAAATCTAATAATTCTACCTGTTTCAAATGACCTACAAATACATTGTATTTCACTCGATATTGTCAAGAGAGCACTATTATTCTATAATGTCCTGTCACAAACAAAAGTCAGACTTCTTTTGCCTTTGACCATTCTGTTCCCTATGGCCACATAAATGCTGTGGCTACAAATGCAGGTCAGAGGTGAGGAATACTACAGCAAGTAATTCACGTCCAGATTCACCAGACCTTGTCCACCATTGACAAGGCACAAGTCAGGAATGTGATGGAGTACACCAGTTTGCCTGGATAGGTGCAGCTCCAACAACACTGAAGAAACTTGATATCATCCAGGACAAAGCAGCCCTCTTAAGGCCACCACCGCCACAAGCATTTACTCCTTCCATCCCCAATGCTCAGTAGCAACATGTGTACCATCTGCAAGATACGCTCCAGATATTCATCAGACCTTCTTGGATAGTATTTCCAAACCCATGTAGAAGTACAAATGCAGCAGTTGGACGGGAACACCACCATCTGCAACTGCCCCTCCATCTCGCTCTCTCGCTCTCGCTCTCTCACACACACACACACAGCTGTTCCTTCAGTGTTACCACGTCAAAATCCTGAACTCCCTCCCTGACAGCCCTGAGGGCGTACCTACACCACATTGAGAGTTGCAGAAGTGTAAATGATGCAAATAGATCCTTGCAGTTCGTCAGGAGGAGAAAAGTGTTTGCTATGCTTTGCACAGTGTATCCTATTGTAGCTCTCATGCAAATGCATGTGCTGTCTTCCAGGCTGAAGCCTTTGGACATTGAATTTATGAAACGCTTACATGACAAGGTGAATATTATTCCACTCATAGCTAAAGCAGACACCCTCACCCCTGAGGAGTGCCAGCACTTCAAGAAGCAGGTAACTACTTGAATAACTCATCTTCACATTGCGTGCCTTTAATGTAATTAACCTTCTCAACATGATTCATGCTAAGACATCGGGCCATATAGGGAGACTGGTCAGACAACCAAAAGTACAGTTTAATCCCTTTTAATAAGCGTCGTAAGGGAAGGTGGTGAGGTGCAGACAGGGTGCTCCAGAGCTTGGACTGAAATGGTAAAGGCCAGCTGCCATTGGTGGGAGAATTGTCATCAGATATGCGCAAGAACCAGAACTACATGAGTGCAGATATCTCGAAGGTTTACTGGTGTTTTTGAGGAAGGTTTAAACTAACTTGACAGAGGTGGGAGGTTGTGAAAGAATACTCAGCAGAGGGAAGCGAATAGCCAGAATGAGAAGAGACAGCAAAATGAGTCAGGAAAGCAGTATATTGAGAGAGATGCAGGACCAGTAGCTCATTATTCCAGGATACAGGGTCTTCAGGTGAGAGAGGGAAGGAGCTAAAAGAGGAGGAGGTGTCACAATTTTGATCAGGGAATCTGTTACAGCAGTAAGGAGGGATGACATGTTAAAGGTCCTCAAATGAAACCATATGGGTAGAACCTAAAAACCCAAAAGAAGCAATCACATTGCAGGAGTGTATTATAGGCTCCCTAACAGTCTCCGGGGAATAAAAGAGCAGATATGTTAGTAACTTTCAAGGAAGTATTGAAAGTAATAGGGTAGTGATAATAAGGGATTTCAACTGTCCCAACATTGACTGGGTTAGTCATAATCATAGAGTCAAACAGCACCGAAATAGACCCTTCAGTCTAACTCCTCCATGCCGACCAAGTTTCCCCAATCAGAGTAGTCTCACTTGTCTGCGTTTGGCCCAGATGCCTCTAAACCTTTCCGATTATGTACCGGTCCAAGTGTCATAGAATATCATAGAATCCCTACAGTGTGGAAACAGGGCCTAACAAGTCCACACCGAACCTCAGAGCATCCCACCCAGACTCAACCCCCCCAAACCCCCCCAATCTACACATCCCTGAACACAATGGGCAATTTAGCATGGCTAATCCATCTAGCCTGCACATTTTTGATCTGTGGGAGGAAACCGGAGCACCCCAAGGAAACCCACGCAGACACGGGCAGAATGTGCAAACTCCACACAGACAGTCGCCCGAGGCTGGAATCGAACCTGGGTCCCTGGCGCTGTGAGGTAGCAGTGCTAGCCACCATGCCACCCAAACGTTTGGAGCCTCCCTGGTGGGGAATTGAACCCTGCTCTCCCACGTGACAGGCGGGGATACTAACCACTATACTATCGAGGACGTTTTTTTAAGAAAAGATAATTTCTTGTCATATGTATTCAGTGTAAAAATACAGTGAACAGTGGGTACTTTCACCATACGTATGTGATGCCATTCACGTTAACTTGGGAAAAGACAAGGGGAAAAAGAAACTTGAGTCCAACTTTCCTTTCCACTGCCACAGTTCCACTCGAAGCTTTCCAGCCCTCGCAATGCCACTGCCAGCATCCCACCCTGGGCTGCCTCGCCTGCCTGCTCTTGCTCTCGCTGGCACTGTCACTGCAGAACACAACGTGCACGTTCAGCCCCCACCAAGTGGTTCCCGGTTGCGACCCAGCTCCTTCCTGACTCCTCAGGTGGGCCGTTAAAAGGGGTGGGAGAGGATAGAATTACCCTAGTTTTGAAACCCCCTATCCTCGAGAAAAGATCTTTGTTATTTACCTTATCTATGCCCCGCATTTTATAAACCTCAATAAGGCCACCCCTCACCCTCCAACGCTCCTCCCCAGTGAAAAAAGTCCCAGCCTATCCAGCCTCTCCTTCTAATTCAGACCCTCCAGTCCCGGCAGCATTCTGGTAAATCTTTTTCTGAAAACCATCTCCAATTTAATAATATCCTTTCTACCACAGGATGACCAGAACTATAAACTCACTCCAAAAATAGTCTCACCAACATCCTGTGCACCCTCGAAATGACGTCCCAACTCCTATACTCAATGGTCTGAGCGATGAAGGCAAGCACGCTAACCACCCTGTCTACCTGTGAGGCAACTTTCAAAGAACTAATTATCTGAGCCGCTAGGTCTCCATCTTCAACAACACTACCCAGGTCTCTGCCTTTAACTATGGTGTGAAAGGGAAGGAGCAGAATTCTTAATGGATGTCCAGGACATTTTTTTAAGTCAGGACATAGAAGGCCCTACAAGAGAGGAGGCAATCCTGGACTTAATTAATTTTAGGTAACGATGCTGGGCAAGTGGTTTAAGTATCGGTGAGGCAGTATTTTGTAGACAGCTATCATAACTCCATTGCATCCAAAATTGCTCTAGAAAAGGACAAGGATGGTTCTGAAATCATAGTTCTTAACTGGGAGAAGGCCAATTTTAATAAGATTAGATATGATTTACCATAGTGGGCCAGGAGGTAAATCTGTCTGAGAACAGTGGAAAAGTGGGACTGTCAAATCCTGTGAACCCTTGATGTTGAGGGATATACAGCATTGGATTGAGAGAAAAAGGAAAACTTACGGAAGGTACCGAGGGCTTAGAACAGCACAAGTCCTGGAGGAGTATCAAATATGCAAGAGGAAACTTGAAAGGAAGATTAGGAGAGCTAAAAGGCGACATGAAAGGATACTGGCAGGCAAAATAAAGGAAAATTCGAAGTTATTTTACAGGTACATTAAGGGTAAAAGGATAACAAGGGAAAGAGTAAGATCTATTAAGGACCACAGTGGTAATTTGTACATGGATGCAGGTAGGCTTCTAACTGAACACTTTGTGGCAGTATTCACAAGTGAGAGGGACAGTTACAGGTATGGAAGTCAGGTAGATAGTCTGTGATACAATTAAAGAAATTAGCATAGACCGAGAAGATGTTCCGAGTGTCCTGGCAGGCTTAAAAGTAGTTAAATCTCCAGGGCCGCATGGAATGGATCCCAGGTTATTGAGTAAGGAAAGGGAGGAAATGGCAGAGATGCTAGCAAAAAAAATTTCAGTTCTTCTCTGGCCACAAGAGGGATGCCAGAGGACTGGAGGATGGCCAGTGAGATACCATTGTTCAAGAAGGGAGCAAGAGATAAACCAGGAAACTAGGCCAGTCAGACTAACTCGGTGGTGGGGGAAACTATTGGAAGCATTTCTGAGGGACAGAATTAATCTCCATTTTGAAAGGTGGGGATTAATTAAGAACAATCAACATGATTTTGTCAAGGGAGGTCATTTCTGAACAACCTGATTGAATTTAATGAGGGGCGTGCTTTTGGACTACTTGGGTCTACTTGGACTCCAACAAGGCTTTTGGAAAGGTCCCACATGGGAGACTGATAGTGAAAATGAGAGGCCTTGGAGTTGCAAGGAAATTTGGAAAATGGATGTACAATTGACTGAGTGGCAGAAAGCAGAGGGTGATGGTTGAGGGGTCTTTTCTGACTGCTTGTCTGTGTTCAGTGCAGTCCCACAGGGATCGGAGTGGTGCCCTTGCTGTTTGTGCTTTTATACATAAATGATTTAGACTTGAATGTAGGAGGTTTGATCAGTAATTAAAAACCGAAAGAACTGCGGATGCTGTAAATCAGGAACACAAACAGAAGTTGCTGGAAAAGCTCAGCAGGTCTGGCAGCATTTGTGAAGAAAAAAATCAGATTAACATTTTGAATCCGGTGACCCTTAGAACTGATGGTAGCTGGGAAAATGTCAGTTTATAGGCAGAAAATAGGGAGGGAGCTGGGGTAGGGAGTAAACGATAGGATTGTGCCTAAAGAGAGAGAAGAACAATTGGACAGACGAAGGAGTTGATAATGATCTGGCTGGGAGGGTGAATGGTTGTTAATGGGGACTGTTGGTGACTAACAACAAGATGGTGTGTAATGGCAGCCTGTGTGTGATTAAGGCCTGGTGTGAGAGATAGGGGACTAGGACATGGGAGAGTTTAGGCCCTAAAATTATTGAACTGGATATTGAGCTTGGAGGATTGCAGGATCCCCAAGCGGAAAATGAGGTGTTGTTCTTCCAGTTTGTGTTGAGCTTCACTGGAACGCTGCAGCAAGCCAGAGTCAGAGCTGTTGGCCAGGGGACAAGGTAGTGTGTTAAAGTGGCAGGCAACAGGTAGCTCAGGGTTCTTCTTTGCAGGCAGAGTGTAGATGTTCTGCAAAGCGGTTCACCTGGTCTGCTAGTTGATACTGGGTTGATCAACCCAGTTGATCAATAAGTTTGCAGATGATACAAAAATTTGTGTAGTTGTAAATATTGAGGAGGTAAACCTTAGACTACAAGAGGATATAGACAGGCTGTTCAGATTGGCTGATCAGCAGTAAATGGAATTCAATCAGGATAAATATGAAGTGATGTTCTTGGGCAGGACAAACAAGGCAAGAGACTACGTGAGTGGTAGGACCTTAGGAAGCACCAAAGATTAGAGGGACCTTAGTGTGCATGTCCACACATCCCTTAAGGTATCTAGAATTATGTAAGACTTTGGTTAGACCACAAAGTATTGTGTGCAATCCTAGAATCCACATTATAGGAGGAATGTGAGGCACTGGAGAGGATGCAGTGGAGATTTACCAGGATATTGCCTGGGCTGGAGAGTTTATGAAGTGAGATTGGAGAGTTTGGGGTTGTTTCCTTCAAGCGGAGGAGACTGAGAGGAGGCATGACTGAGATGCGTAAAATTGAGGGAGAAACTTGTCCCCTTGATGGAGGTATCAATGACCAGGAGATATAGATTTAAGGTAAGCAGCCGGAAGTTTAGAGGCGATGAGAGGAAAATCTTTGTCACCTATAGAGTGGTGAGAATCTTGAACTCTCTGCTTCTAAGAGTCTTAACATTTAAAAAAGTCTTTAGATGTGCATCTGTGATGCCATTACATGGTTATGGGCGCGTGCTAGAAAATGGGATTATAATAATTTGTTTTTGACTGGCACAGATGCGATAGGCCAAAGGACCTTTTTCTGTGTAGTAGATCTCTGCAGTTCTATGACTCCACGCCAATGTCTGAGATACTGTTTTTTTGAACAGATAATGAAAGAGATCAAGGAGCATAAGATTAAGATTTATGAATTTCCAGTTACTGAAGATGAAGAGGATAATAAATTGATAAAGAAGTTTAAGGTAAATTGGTTTTCTTGTCATTTTTGTTTGCAGAAACCCATACCTCACTGAGAGGTTGTCAGTCTCTACACAGAACTGACTAAACCGCACACCTCACTAAGATCATGCACCTCTCTGCACAGCATTGTCTAAACCACACAACTCATGGAGCTTAGATAACAAGGTGTAGAGCTGGATGAACACAGCAGGCCAAGCAGCATCACAGGAGCAGGAAGGCTGA